GGAAAGAGGTGGGAAGAAGAAAAGCAAGATGGATGTTCAGCTTTCCAACCCAGCTCACGGAGCTTTATTCAGAATGGATGACAGATCCTGCTTGGTTCTTACTGCACTTGAAGGGCCATATTCCCTAGGAACCCAGCACGGAAGGACCACGTTTGCCCTCCCACTTCCTTCAAAATTCCTAGGACCAGAGCTGGGGCCTACCTGGAACCCCTTTTCAGAACCCATACTTACCTGGGCCTGACCCTCTTCCCACCCACCTCACCACTTGTGTTGCCAGGCCCAGGCAGGACTCATGGATGACAAGGCTGACATGAGGATATTCCTTGGGCTGGGAATCCCCTGGCAGCTTCAAGGGAACAATGTCTGACCACAGGAAGAAGTCTCACATCTGTCATAGTTCTTCTACCGCGCACACACACACACGCTCTCACTCTGGCTTTCAGGGAAGGAAGTGATGTGGCAGTGGCCTTCAGCACGTATCACCACTTCTGGGCAGGGCATCAGCTTGCACAAGCGGCCCTCAATCACCGCTGCCAGCAGTAATCCCTGTGGCCCAACTATGTATAGATGGTCTTTGTTCTTGGCTGAGTACAGCCCCACTTAGTGGCAGGTTCCCCAAGCTGCTACAGCTCTGGTCACCCCCACACAAATCCCCGGTGAATTCCGAGGTCCTAGAGCTTCCCTTACATAACTTCCCAAAAGTTATGACAAGGTTCCACTTGTCTCCACCAGCCTATGGACCCCAACAGGGAAGACGGAGCCAGAGAACGCCCACCTGTGGCCTTAGCCAGCGAGGACAGAGGACACCTCACCCCTCAGTGATCATCAGTGGCACAGGCCGGAGCTCCCTGGCTCTTCCACACTGAGTGTACCAGGCTCAAGCCCCACATACGGAAGGAAGGGGAGGTGGGCTGGGGCTCTCAGCCAGAGAAGAGATGGCTCCTTTACACCAAAAATGTTGTGGCTCTGCTCCTGCCCTGCTCAAGCAGGGAGGCTGAGGCCTGGAGGAATTGGGGCAATTCCTATGCTCCACAATAAAAAAGGTTTTTAAATATATTCATCAAAATAGTTTTCTTTTAAAAAGCCCCCCACTGCTGACAGCCCCACTTGCTGGCTCTCCATCATATCCCTCCCCAGTCCGGACACAGCTGGAGGGGTCCTGAGTGGCCCGAGTGCCCCTTTGAGTCTTTCCCACCCAGGAGGTCTTGGAGGGCAGGGAGGAGAGCGCCCTGAGGTCCATGGTGGGTGGATGCTCTTCTTCCTGACTATTCCAGGCCCAGGATATAGTTGATGCCTTGCACCAGGCCAATGATGACAGGCTGCCAGGCTACCAAGTATCGAAGCCAGTCCAGCAGTTGCCCGTACATGACATGAGGCCTCTCCCAGCTGTCACTGCGTCAAAGAAAAGAGGTTACGTGTTCGAGTTGCTAAGGTTGGTCTAAGGGATAGGTGAGAGGGTCTGCCTACACTTTCCAGATGCTCCACAGAAATGGGCCTACAGAGAAAGGAAGCTGCTTTCTAGAAAGCCCCACCCAGCCCCTATATGTTGGAATGCAGGGCTAAACCCAGAGAATGGGGGCAGGAGGGCAGAGAGGACCAGTGCAGAAGATCAGACAGATGCGGGAAAGAGGGGAGGGGTGAAACTAAGCTCTCCATGACCAACATACAGACAGGGCTCCACATAACCTTCTAAGATTGGACCGCCAGTATGCCCGAGACTGCTGTAGGTTATGGGTGATGATGGCATCAGGGAGGCGGGGAGTGGGATAAGGTAACCCAAAGGTTCTTGCAATGTCCAAAATGGGAGGTTTTCTAGGTCAAGGAAGGGATTGAGTCTCGGGACAGAGGCATGAGGGGGCAGAGCAAGGGGCTGGTCATAGGGGATAATCCCAGGCAAAGGCTCTAAGGAATCCCCACCCAAGGGCACTGAGCACCAGGCCCTACTGAGGCCAAGCGGCCCCTGGAGATAAGTCCCTTCCTTTCACTTTACAGCTAACTGCCGGGCAAGACCTGGAGAGGGAGCCTGGGAAACCAGCTCCGGGGAAAGCACAGCCGGGCCCAGTCCTGAAAACTAAGGGAAGCCCCAACCCTCAGCTTGACCATGGAGTTGCTAAACTGTTCCTGAACTAGACCCTGGAAGAACCAAGCAAGGAACCTTAAAGGGAAACACAGTGGCCCCGCACGGCCCAGCTAGTGTCCAGGGGACAGGGAACCCTGGCGCAGAGAGGAAGGGCAGCTGGGAGAAGTCCCTGGATCCCAGGGTAAAGGCGGGGTGGTGGGGGTGGCCAAAGAAGTGGCTGGGCACTTTCCGACAGACAGGCTGTGGGGAGGAAGCGGAGGCTGAAGGCAAAGTGGGGAGGGCTGGTCAGGTAGGGAGGGGCAGCTCAGAGGAGCACAGGTCCTGTGTTCAGGTGGATGGGGACAGGGGTCCCCGCCTTCCCTGTACCTTGCAGGCCCTGCACAGGCACAGAGCTGGTCTCCAGCCCTGCCTGTCACAGGTAAGGCACATCCCATTAGTTATACCACCTTGAACAAATTATTCAATCTTTAAACTGTTTCACTGGTAAAACGAGGATAATATTACCCAGGTCATAAAGCTCTAGAGAATCAAGTGAGCTAATACGAGTAAAGCACTTAGCACAGTGCCAGGCACATAGTAAGCAAGCAGTAAATGGTAGCTGCTATCACCACCGATTTACCCTTGAGGAATCCTGAACCAAGAGGAGAAGCTGAGCTGCTGGTCCTGCCCCACATCCCACCCACTTCCCGAGACCACAAGCCGCATGGACTGGTGGGCAGCAGCCAGGCTGGGGGCAGGAGGGAGTGCCCCAACACGCACCCGGATGCAGGCCAGTACTTTCTTACCACTGCCCACTCCCAAAAAGAACCCAAACAAAGGATACGGGTTGCTGAACATCCTCTTGAGGTCTACCTTCTCTTTGCAGTAGGGACACGTCTGCTTCTTTCCCACAATGCACCAGCCGCGGATGCAGAACTCGTGGAATCTGAGCACCACTGGTCAAGGGAAATGGTGGGCGGCCAGGATGGCACTCCAACCCCATGCCGGTCTTCAAGGTGCCCAGGCCCTAGCTCTGGAGGAAGGTTCAAATCCTGGCTTCACCTCTTATCAGTTGCATAATCTTGGGCAAGTCCCTTCTCTCTGACCCTGCTTCGTCATATGTGAAGTGAGGATAATGAACTCTGCCTTACAGGGCTGTTATGGGGCAAAACGGAGATAACACATGGCACTGAATGGGAGCTGAGTAAGGACGTGGTAAATGTCACAAGTGTTATTCAGGTGGATTTGATTCTGAAACTGAGGGCGCCAGTTAGAGGGTGTTCCTCCCCTGTGACTGACCCAGTCTCGGGGCAGCTAGTGCCGCTGCTGGCTCCTTTCTGATCCAGCCAGGCTACATGTAAGAATGGCTCCCATCTGTGAGAAGGAGCAAAGGAGGCAGCTGTTTCTACTCCTGGGGGTTGGCTTCCCTAGCAGAGGACATCACCCAAATGTCTGCTTCTTGTGACTCCCCTACCCTCAAAGGTCTGGACAGTACGCCCAGGGTCATCATCACACCCTTCCCTCCCTGATTGGAGTGTGCACGTGGCAAGAGAGACGTGGCCCAGGAGCTCCAGGCAGGATACACATGATTGCAAGACAGCCTATACGTGTTCTCGATGATGCCCTCTTCACTGACATCCACAAAGATCTGCTGCCCACACACGGCACACACACTGTCCGAGAGGTGTTTGGTGGGCATGCCCGACTCACTGTAGAACTGGAAGAGAAGAGCAGGAGGAAAAGACAGAAAAGACGTGAGAATCAGCCAAAGTGGGAAAGTACCACAGAGGCCTTAGGTCTTCTGTAGAGGAGGCGACATGGTAGGGGGAGTCCCCAGAGCTAGACAATATCTCATACACCAGATCGCCCTCATCTTTGCCGGGAAGATGGGTGAAAGGAAGTCACATCTGATAGGACCTGAAGACTGGGAGGGTCAGCATCAGGGACAAGGAGAATGGGAAAAAGAAGGGCTCAGGGCTGGTGACAGGGAACTACATCAGTGAAGCCACTGTGCAGCCAGATTATGGTTCCATCAGAGATGGACAACATCTCTTCTCCAAGATTCAAAACAGTGAAACATCTGGTGCAATGCTGGTTTGGTGACAAGGGCATTCTCAGACACTTGTGGCAGCAGCAAAAGAGGTTCAACCCTTTTGGACAGCATTTGGCATGATGTCTCAAACCGTCACACCATTTAACCCATTAATTTCACCTTAAGGAGTTTAAAGGAGTAAAAATATCAAAAAAGCTTCATGCATACAGATACTCATTTAAGTGTTATTTATAATTAAAGAAGCAAAGAGTTTGGCAATCCCTCATAAAGTTAAATGTGGAATTACCATATGACACAGCAATTCCATTCTTAGGTACATACTCCTAAAGAATAAAAACAGAGACTAACCACACACTTGTATACCAATGCTTATAGCAGCATTATTCACAAATAGCCAAAAGGTGTAAACAACCCAAGTGTCCAGAAACAGAAGCATGGATAAACAAAATGGGGTCTATCCCTCCAATGAAATGTTATTCAGTCATAAGAATAATGAAATTCTGATACATGTTACAACATGCAGGCACCTTGAAAATATTACACTAAGTAAAATAAGTCAGACACAAAAGGATAAACACTGTCTATGATTCCATTTATATAAAATATCTACCATAGGCAAATTCACAGACAGAAAATAGATTAGAGGTAACCAGCAGTGGGAGGAGGAAATGGGGAGTTACTGCTTAATGGGCACAGTCTCTGTTTGGAGTGATGAAAAATTCTGGAAGTAGACAGTACACTTAAGGATGGCTAAAATGGTGAATTTTACATTACATATATTTTATTAAAAAATAGTTAAAAAACGAAAACAAAAACAAAAGAAGAAATGGAAATAACCATAAATGACCAATAATAGAAGAATGCCTCAATAAATTATACTCAAGGGACTAGAGAGGTGGTGGGTCAACTGAAGCTTGAGATATAACACTGAGTGTCAAAAGCAGGGCACAAAATTGGAGGCACAGTATTATTGGTACATATATATGTAAAGACAATCCAAATCTATCAAAAGATCAGAAGGAAATGTATGAGAATATTCACACCAGTGATGTCTTGGTAGTAGGATTATAGGTGATTTTTTTCCTTTTGCCTATTTTTCTGTACTCAAATTTTCCTTAATGAACATATATTACAGGCAAGCCTCAGAGATATTGAGGGCTCCGTTCCAGAACACCACAACAGAGCAAGTCACGTAGATTTTTTGGTTTCCCGGTGTATTTAAATGTTATGTTTATACTTACTGTAGTCTATTAAGTGTGCAACAGCATTATGTCTAAAAAACCAATTACAATAATATCAAAGATCACAGGTCACCATAACAAATATAATAATAATGAAAAAGTTCGAAATATTGTTAAGAATCACCAAAATGTGACACAGAGACAAAAAGTGAGCAAATGCTGTTGGAAAATGATGCTGATAGACTTGCTTGATGCAGGGCTGTCACAGACCCTCAATTTGTAAACAAAACAAAACAAACACAATTATCCGCAAAGCGCAATAAAGGAAAGCACAATAAAACGAGGTATGCCCATACTTTAAAAGATTACGTATTACCATGGTTAATCACAATGGATAACCAATTCCATGCTCCAAAAAGAAATTCCAAATTTTGCATACTTTCCTGGTGGTTTATTGTTAAATAGCTACAGAGCATTTTCCCTTCACCCCAAGGAGAAAAGACTTGAATTTTATTTGTTGATATAGTCTAAGACCTATTGTTTTTTTTCTTTGCACTGTCCTAAAAATTATGGTAAAACACACATAACACAGAATTTACCATCTTAACTATTTTAAAATATACAGTTCGGTAAAGTTAATAAGTATATTCACATTGCTGTGCAGCTAATCTCCAGAACTTTCACATCTTGCAAAACTGTAAAATGGATTTTTGGACAGGATTCTGCATTTATTATTACAATTTTATCTGTACCTATAAGGGAAATAGATGATACTTAGCCTTTTTGTATTTTCTTAACTTGAGTTTGCTCTGTTTTTTTATTTCCAAGCAACTGTCTTCTGAAAAAGCCACAGCCCTGAAGCTGGGTGAGGGATAGCAGTGGAGGAGGGGTGGGCATACAGGTGCTGGGATAGGGAGTAAGAAGGATGGTGACAGCCAGATCAGACACAGCTACACCTGCCAGAACCTCTGCTCAACATGCGGGCATCTCTGACTCCAAGCTGCCCTTATAAGAAATGGCCTCTCGGGCTTCCCTGGTGGCGCAGTGGTTGGGAGTCCGCCTGCCGATGCAGGGGACACGGGTTTGTGCCCTGGTCTGGGAGGATCCCATGTGCCGCGGAGCGGCTGGGCCCGTGAGCCATGGCCGCTGAGCCTGCGCGTCCGGAGCCTGTGCTCCGCAGCGGGAGAGGCCACAACAGTGAGAGGCCCGCGTACTGCAAAAAAAAAAAAAGAAATGGCCTCTCTTGACTCCCAAGAGTCCTCAAGCGTAGAAGGTAGAGCCACACCACCCCAAGAATCCATGAATAGAGAGCTTCCTGCCTTCACCCCTACCTCACCGTCTTACAAAACTGTCTGAAGTGGCTCAAGGTGAACTCGTTACTATCACAGAACACCAGAGCAGCCCCATCCCTGGGGAAACCAAAGCCCAGAAAGGAAAGAAACTAGCTGTGACGAGAACCCAGCCCCTCTGACGCCTAACCCAAGTTCTACCCAAGACGTCCATTAACATCTGCTGAATGCTGCAGAAAGATCAGCTACTTAGCTCACTGAGGGCCAGTAATTCAAAAGGTTCTGGTATGTTTATCGAGAGTGCAAAAGGATAAGCAAGAGTTAGGGCAGAGCCAAACCTGTGGGAGCCCACTAACTGCAACTATCCAAAGCTGGAATCTGAATGTTAGTGTTGAGGGGACCTCTGAGAAACACTTCTCCAGCACTCAAGAGGCTTATGGCTCTGAAATATGTCTGGCTTAGAATTTCTAGGCATATCAACTGAACAGAGAGAAAATAGGCCAAGAAGTCTGGGTCCAGCTCTGGCACTGAGTCCCTGCACAATCATGCAGCACAGGAACACGGCCACTCACTCTGGCCCACAGCGTTGGCAGTGAAGTAAGTGGGAACGCCTCAACTCAGGAGATGGGTGAGAGCACTGAGGAAGCGCTTTAGCTCAAATCATCCCTGAGTTCTGCCCCAAGCCACTGGGGCAAGGGATACAGGATGCAAGAGAACTTGGATGAGGTAATGAGAGTAGGAGGGATGCCCAGGAAAATGTCTATTAGGCCCCTAGCTTCTGGAGTTCTCCCCGCAAGCTAATGTGGCAACAGGCCGGCAGGGTCAAATCCCACAAAGTTTCAACAAAGCTATCAGGTAAGCCTGTCAAGTCAGGAAGGGCCCAGCAACCCTGTGGTTTGCAGAACCCACAGAGACTGTATCAGGAGGCACTGAAGCTGAGTAGGGTAAAGTACAGGGAGGCAGATTTCAGTTTAACCTCAAGAGCCTGATGCCTCAGTGTGGAAAGGGCTCAAGGGGCCAAATAATTTGTCAGGATTAGACACACCACATTTCCATCCTCTGTCACTTACTATCTTGATGACCTTGAGCAAGCCATCCAAATTCTTCTTTCCTTCCATCAGAATATATTGGGCACCTACTAAGTACCAGCCACTGGACTGGGTCCTTGGGCTAGAATGCTGAAAAAGACAGACCTGGCCTCTGTCCTCATGAAACCTACAGCTAGGGGAGACTGACATTAAAAAAATAAGTATGGGGCTTCCCTGGTGGCGCAGTGGTTTAGAGTCCGCCTGCCAATGCATGGGACGTGGGTTCATGCCCCGATCCGGGAGGATCCCACATGTCGCGGAGCGGCTGGGCCCGTGAGCCATGGCCGCTGAGCCTGCGCGTCCGGGGCCTGTGCTCCGCAACGGGAGAGGCCACAGCAGTGAGAGGCCCGCGTACCGCAAAAAAAAAAAAAAAAAAACTAAAAATAGAGTTGCCACATGATCCAGCAATCCCACTCCTGGGCATATATCCAGACAAAACTATAATTCGAAAAGATACATGCACCCTTTATGTCCACAGCAGGACTATTTACAACAGCCAAGACATGGAAACAACCTAAATGTCCATCAACCGATGAATGGACAAAGAAGATGTGGTACATATATATACAGTGGAATACTACTCGGCCATCAAAAAGAATGAAATAATGCCATTTGCAGCAACATGGATGGATCCAGAGATTATCATACTAAGCGAAGTCAGAAAGAGAAAGACAAACACCATGTGGTATCACTTATATGTGGAATCTAAAATACAATACAAATCAATGTATCTATGAAACAAAAACAGACTCACAGGTATAGAGAACAAATTTGTGGTTGCCAAGGGGTAGGGGGGATAGGGGAAGGAAGGAACGGGAGTTTGGGATTAGCAGAGGCAAAATATATAAAAGATGGATAAACAACAAGGATAAACAACAAGGTCCTACGTATAGCACGGGGAACTATATTCAATTTCCTGTGACAAACCATAGTGGAAAAGAATATGAAAAAACTGAGTCACTTTGCTGTACAGAAGAAATTAACACAACATTGTAAGTCAACTATACTTCAAAAAAATTTTTTTTAATTTATATAAAATGAGAATTATTTAAAAGGCTAAAATAAGAATTATTTAAAAGGCATTAAAAGGGCTATCAAAGAACACT